GACGCGCGCAGGTCGGCCGAGGAGGCCGTCAAACGCCGGCAGGCCGCAAGAGGCCCACGGCCGCCAACGCCGACGCCGACGGCGACCACCACGCCAACCTCGACGCGCCGGTCGCGGTCGCGGCCACGACCGACCGGAGCGACGTCGAGGAAGAGGTGCCCGACATCCTGACGGCGCGGCGCGTGCTGGTGGCCAAGAAGCTGCCGGAGAGCCGCTCGGCGACGCGGCTGTCGGGCGAGAGCGTAAAGTCGCTCGGCGCGCGTGCGGCGCGGCGGCAGTCGATGAGCGACCGGAGCAGCCTGGTGGCCACGCCGGTGCAGCGTTCGCCGCCGCAGCTGCCACGTCGCAGCCCGGACCGCAAGGTCGTCGAGGCTCTGCGCGGGCTCGGCCTGGCCACGGGCAGCGAGAATGACGAGGCTGGCGGCGATGGCGATGTCGAGGACGAGCGCGGTGATCGTCAGGGCCACGACGGCGACGACCACGACCACGACCACGACCACGACCACGACCACGACCACGACCACGACCACGACCACGACCACGACCACGACCACGACCACGACCACGATGAAGACGAGGATGCAACGACGAGACGGCATCGGCGCCATTCGTCGAGCGGGGGACGGGATCGCGCCGCAACTCGCGGCAGCTGCGGCCGTTGCCCAAGCAATCGCCCGTGCCGAGCTACGCACCGCCGCGCGCCCCCTCTGCCTCTGCCGCTGCTGCTGCCGCCGGGATCGAGGCGGGCGGAGGAGTGTCGAGCAGTCCGATTTCGACGCCCTCGCTCGGCGGATCGCCACCGACGGTGCCGTCGTCTCCGAGCCTAGCGCTATCGCATTCCGGGTCGCAGCACGGCGATGGCGAAGACGGTGGCGGGGGTGCGGGTATGCCGCGGTCGTTTTCGGCGGCGTCGATGATGGCGTCGCAGCGCCGACCCTCTCTGCCCTTTGCGGCGTCGTCGTCGGTATCGTCGGCATCAAAGCGGGATACGATGCTCTACAACGCCACCGCTCCCTCGACGCGGGCCCATTCCCTCGTGGGCTGCAGCGGCGGCGGCGGTGGTGACGATGACGAGTCGGAAGAGCACGAGGCGTGGGAACGCCGTTCGGTCGCCGATAGCTTTGGCACGTTTGGCGGAAGCCCCAAATTTGAGAGGCAGTGGAGCATCTCTTCTGCGTCCGGCGTCGCTTATGGTGCCGTCGCTGCTGGCGGTGGTGGTGGTGGTGGTGGGGGGTTGGGGATGGAGGTGGGCGAGGAACCGGATCTTGGTCCCGTCTCTGCGGGACAGGGACAGGGGCAGGGGCAGGGGAGGATCTCGCCTCCTCCACGGTTTGAACTTTAACCCTGCCCCCCTCCCTCCCTCCCTCCCTCCTCTTGATGATGGTACACCACCACTGTACTCGTCGCTCCCCTATCTTATCCGCTCATCGTCTCTGCATCACCATTCATACACGCTCTCACCTCGTCTCGTTCCGTCTTGTTGGCACACCTCTAGACCCCCCTCCCTCCTCCTTCCTCGCTGTGCTGTACTGTGCTGTGCTCAACCTGCTACAAGTCACGACCAAACGGATCTGCTACACTCTCTCTAATGCCCCATCCGTCTTTTCCCTTTAGCTTGGCACCCTCTGCCACCGCCTGCCCTTCTTCTACCCCGCCTTCCTGCCTACCTACCTGCCTACCTGGCTGGCTGGCGGGCTGGCGGGCTGGAGAGGGAGTGAAAGACCGCATCGAGTCATGAACCCGGTACCATGCAACGCGACAACGCCCAGGTGGCGTCCGATCCGAAGCAGATCGAGATGGAATGCGGTGCCACGCCTGGCTTCGCCTAGCCTGGACTGGGATGGGTTGGGATTGCAGTGTGCCGTCAGTCGGCACCCTCGACGTTCCTCTCGCTGGGCGCGCCAACTTGGATCCGCCCCCCTCTCTCTGTCCATCGGGGCGCGCGTGCCTGGCTCGCGCCCGTCGACTTGGCTCCCACTGCCTCCCCTCGTTGCCTTTGTCCTTCATCTCCATCTCGTTGGCCGCTCCTGGCTCCATTTCTTTTAGCCCTCATCGTCTCGTGCTCCGCTACCGAGGCATGCTACTGTGCCGTGCCGCGCCGCTCTGTGCCGGCCCAGGCCCCGACTCGACTCGACTCGAATTGGTTCGCCCCGTCTGGCCAACCTTGGACCTGGACCCCGATTCGAGCCGGCCCGTCGATCAAGGCCACCACCATTCATCACCTCCTGACTCGCTGCAGGTCTGCGGGCTTGCCCTGGGGTCCGTACTAAGGCGGCGCGAGGAGATGACACGGAAGATAGCAAAGGGTGCGAGGGGTGCGACGAAGAGGCGTCAGCTGGGGAACGGCAATCTCGCTTTGAGAGGGGCAGAGCAACGGCAGCGGACCTCGACCTTACCTTTTGCTGGTAGTCTTTTTCCCTCCGGAAGAGGAGGATGTGCGGTTCCGGTGCTGTCCGAGGGCGAGGGGGAAACAGAGAAGCGAAGCGAAACGAGTCAGTGGATGGCATCCTGGAACCCACCCCGCGCGCAGCGCAGCAGAGGCCAGTGTCAAGGTCGACGCACCGTGCACCTCGTAATGCTGCCACCCGACGCTTTGTGTGATGCCGAGGCCCCTCCACTCCTGGTCCGAGAGGATGCGCAGCACGCCCTGCTCCTCGGGGTCAAAGTAGCTCTTGGGGATCAGGCGCAGCAGCGGTTTTGGCAGGATGACGTGGCTGAAGGGCGCGGTGCCAGCAGACGAGAGCAGCAGGACCACGACGGCGAGTGTGTAAGCTAGGCTGAACGGCAAGGCAATCGCGAGGCGAGCATCGACGTCGACTCACCGGTATTCCCACTTGTCGTCCGAGTACTTGTCCGAGTAGTGGATCCTGTAGTCGGCGGAGGGAGCGCGCGCTAGGTGAGCTGGTGCACGGCAGGTACGGATCGAGCGCGCCGTTGCAGCCTCGAGCCTGACGGAGCGAGCGAGACTCACCTCTCGACGTAGTCGTCGTACGTCGGCTCCCTAGCTTCCTTGGCCATGGTGGTGGTGATGCGGCGGGTGGTGTGAGGGGGTTTGGGCTATGTCGGTCGCTCAAAGGGGCAGACTGGACGATGGTGCGCTGTCTGCGGGTGCGGCCGGGTCTGTCGGCGTGCGTGCGAGGCCCTGCCGTCGACGAGTGGGAATGGCGGTGCCGGTGGCAGAGTCCGAGCTAGGAGAGCGCAGTCGAGGCGACGCTATCGATGCGCAAGGAGTGGGGCAACGACGTAGCAGACGGTGCAAACTGAGCCGCGCTGGGGCCGCAAGCGTCGATGTGTTGGCGTTCGAGCTCGCCAGAGGCAGGTCCGGGCGATGCGATGCCGCGCGCAAGACGTTGAGCGCCGGGTGCGGTGGATGTGACAGCAACAGAGGACCGGTGCGGGACCTTGTCTTGACCTTCGGACGCCGGGTTTGTTTTTCTTCGCGCCAAGGATCGAGGCCGATGTGAGATGAAGTGGCCGCCGACGATGTGGATGTGCTGGGTCGATGCAGTTCAGGGCTGAGCGAGTAGTCTTGTGGTGATGAGGCCTCGGACAGGCGGGGCGCAAAGGGCGGGCTGGGAGATGACAATGGTGCTGGTGGCGATGGCGATGGCGATGGCGATGGTGGTGGTGGGGAGCAGAGGAGCTGCCGGGCCAGGCGAGGCCATCCCAGCCAAGGCACAGATAGAGACACGCGCGAGGGTCCGAGCCGGCTGGCTTGCCAGAGCCCAGCCAGGCTAAGCAGCAGACGAGCCTTGACCCCAAGCCCTTGGCCGAGAACAACAGGCAAGGCCAGGCCAGGCTGGGTTGGGCCACGGTAGCCCACGCAGGTCGCCCGCCTGGCCACCCCGCCCCGCCCGCTGCCCCGGCCTCTTCCCCAAAAAGCACACACACAGAGGCCGGCCCGCAGTGCGGCGGCCTGCCAGGCACGAGAAAGAGGAAAAGAAAAAAACCGGGCGCAGGCAGACAGACGGCCAGCCTGCGAGCCGGACCAAGGCTGGCTTGGCCTGGCTTGGCCTGGCCTGGCCTGCCTGGGGGCCTCGAGGACGCGTCTCGACCGCGTCAGCTAGAGGAGCCTAGCCTGGCCTAGCCTGGCCTGGCCTCTCGCCTTCTGGGCCGAAAGTCGGATCCGCCCCCGCCCTAATCTCTGGCCTCCTCTCTGGCCTCCTCTTTGTGCCTGCCACGACCTTGAGCCCCGGATCGCGCCGGGCCCATTCGAGACGCTCGTCGGGCATGATTTGGGATGCATGGATATACAAAGCTGCACATGTACGCTCAAGCTACAGCAGTCGGCTCTTTTGGCTTGGTGCCGCCTCGCAGGAGGCGGATGCTGGGTCGCAGGGCCAGAGGCTCGTCGACCTTTCAGGACCCGCCGTTGACCTTGTCTCGCAGTTGGCCCTGTGTGGCGCGCAAGCAGCAGCAGCAGCAGCAGCAGCAGCAAGGAGTCGCAAGGAGGGAGGAGGCGAGCGAGCAGTCAGTCGCAAGCTCCATCGTCAAGCAGCGCGGGCAACGAGCGCGCGCCAAGCCGGTACTCACGATAAACTGCATGTAGCTCGGCGTCTGCTCGAAGCGGTCCTCGATCAGCAGGCTCAGCGCCCACAGCCGCAGGCTCGGCTCGCCGTCCTCCTTGACAACGTACAGGTGCGGCCGGTAGACGCCGCGGCGCATCTCGCGGATCCGGTCGACGATGGCATTGACCCGCTGGTTCATGCTGTTTTCGAGCTTGGGCAGCGTCGTCTTGCCGCCCCGCAGCACATTGTAGCTCGGCGCGTCAAACACGTCGAGGCACAGCTGCGGCACCGCGTCCCGGCCCACCCATAGGAAGATGTTCTGGCCGTCCTCGATCAGGTACAGGCCGTGCCTCTCGAACCGCTCGCTCGTCAGGTTGAGCTTCTGCGGGAAGACGAAGCCGTTGGCGCCCGTCGTGCCCGCCTCGGGCGCCATGTTGTGCAGGCAGTAGAAGCTCGGGTGGAGGTAGGGGATCAGCAGCTGCGGCGGCAGCGTCGTCAGCAGCGCCTGGGCGTAGGCGCGCAGGTCCGAGGGGATCTGCGACGACTGGCGGATGCCGACGTGCTTGAGCAGGCCGAGCAGCAGCAGCGGCAGCAGCGCCATGTTGTTGGCGATGCTCAGCTGCGGGCTGGCGCCGGAGCCGGCGCTCGTCATCGTGCTCTTGTAGGTCGAGAAGATGTCGACGAGCTTGTTGAAGACGGCGTCGCGCGCGTCCTCGAGCCGCGCGTGGATCGAGCGCTCGACGGCCTTGTCGGCCAGCAGCGTGGCGATCGACACCTGGTCGGCGCTGGCGTAGAGCTCCGACATGGAGCTGGTCGTCGGCAGCGCCAGGTTGATGACGCGGATGCGGCGCTCGCCGTAGCTGGTGCTGTGCAGCACCACGCTCTGGAAGACGACAAAGGGCGCGTTGATCGTCTCCTCGATCTCGCACTCGATGGCGTAGTTCTGGTCCAGCGGCACGGCCGGCAGCGCCAGCAGGTCGGTCGAACGCACGAAAAAGTTGCCGTGGAACGCATTGGCCCGGATGCCCTTGGTGGCGCGCAGCCGCAGCACCGCCTCAAAGCAGATCGGGCTCGCCAGCACCTCGGCAAACTCGTGCGAAAACTTGACCGCGTCCTCGGACCGGCCGGCGTGGAAGGCCGGGTAGAAGTAGGTCTGGCCGCCCGTGTACCTCGGCAGGCACGACAGCGTGGCGACGTCGGTGTACGAGGGCGCAAAGAGGAACATGTCGACCGACACCTGGCTGCGCGAGCAGTCGATGGGGAACGTCTTGTAGAACGACGAGGCGGCCGACAGCAGCGTGCTCTCCTTGGACGTGCCGAGCAGCTTGGCATCCTCGCGGTTCTTGAGCGCGCCCGGGCCCACGCTCGGCAGCGAGGCGGTGAGCACCATGATCTTGCCGCCGAGCGGCGAGATGAGCTTGTAGGCGGCCTGGAGGCCCGCGCCGAGCGCCGAGCCGTTGACGGGCGCGTCCTTGAACATGTCTCCGAGGCGGCCGAGGAGCGCCTCGACGCCGGCGCGGCACTCGGTCAGGTTGACGAGCAGGTCGTTGGGCTTGGGCAGGAAGACGTCGTCGAGGTCGCTGACGACGAGCATCTCGGGCTCGGCGCTCTCGGCGGTGAGGCTGAAGAAGTGGAGGCTGGTGTCGACGCCGATGATGCAGATCTTTGCGCGGTTGTCGGCGTTGGGCAGGCGGTCGAGCGACTCGAGGATGGTGCGGGCGGCGGTGGCCACCATGCCGCTGCTGATGGCCTGGTAGCTCACGTCGATCAGGAACGTGTAGACGGGCGGCTGCGGAGGGCGCACCATGTACTCGCGCGGCGCAATGAACTCGACCACGCTGTGGTTGAGCTCGGGCCTCTGCCACCGGTCGGCCGGCTGGTTCTTTTCCGAGTCCCAGTCAAAGAGCTGCGGCACCTCGTTCGAGATGTTGCACATGCAGCACTTCCACCGCGCGCCGTTCTCGATGAACGTGACGTACGGGTTGATGTAGGTCCTGCAGCGCCGGCAGCGGGCGATGACCGTGTCGCTGACGACGGGCACCGGCTCGTCGCCGTCCGACTCGCGCACGCTGCGGTAGGGCGAGAGGATGAGGCCAAAGGGCAGCTTCGACTTGGTCAGCAGCGCCGACGTGGTGGGGATGGCGTTGAGCGTGCACCGCTGGTACGACGGGTCGGCGTTGGCCTTGGGGTTCGAGGTGATGCACGAGTTGGGCGGCAGCCGGATCTCCGGCGGCGGTCGTTCGAGGTCGTTGACGTTGGGCTGTGCGCCGCTGAGATTGACCGTGTAGAGCGAGCTCTGCTCAGTGCGAGGGGCGGCCAGCGATCAGTCGGTCGGTCGGTCGGTCGGTCGGTCAGCATCGTCTATTCCTTTCGCAGATGTTGCGGCCGCAGCGCGACCGGTACTCACCGGCTTCTGTCCCATCGCCGCAGCGCCACCGACTCCCATGCCCTGGAACTGGTTGGCCAGACCGGCCATAGCGCCGGCCCCGGGCTGGCCGTAGCCGCCCTGAGCTCCACCGTAGCCGGGCGCGACGGGAGCAGCGGCTCCGGGTGCTCCGGGGGCGGGATAGGGCGCCGGCTCGGGCGCACCCGGGGTGAAGAGCTGCGGCTGCGCGTCCTGGGGCGTCCCGTACGTGGCGCCAGAAGCGGCTCCGGCGTCGAAGCCGCCGCTGTAGCTGACACTGTTGGCGGCCAGGTGCGCGGTCGGGTAGTGGCGCCTTCGGCTGGCGCCCGGTCCGATCGAGGCGGGAGGGGCGGCGGGGCTCTCGCCCGGCGAAAGGGGCGAGACCGGCGCACCGGGGCCATGCGAGGGGATGGGAGAGAGCGACGAGGCGCGCATGCCCGGTGGGGGCTGCATCTGGGGCATCGACATCCGAGCCTGGCCCTGCGGGTGAGTCGGCCTAGCACCCATGGGTGGCGGAGGAGCGCCGCCGCCCGCAACCGGAGGCTGCCAGCTGGTCCTGCCCGTGGCCGTTTCTGTGGGGCAGAGTGGGAATGACGGGTGTTTGGTCGAGATGCGGGATGGAGGTCAGCCGGGCTCGTCACGTCGAGATGGGCCTTCGCCAGGCGCCGACACGTACCGATAAAGATCTGGCGGCCTGCATTCTGGTCCCTGTGTTTCGAAAGAGGCGATCAGATGTACAGGCGAGGTCATCAAGGAGGTGAGCAGGTCGAGTCGCCGCAATGCTGGGCTGAGGGCTGCGGCGCCACGTACCACTGCGAGGTCCAGCCCGGAGGCAGCTGCGGCGGTGGTTGGGCCATGGCGACTTGGAGGGAAGCTAGATCGAGGCTGTCGCTGCTGCAAGAGGGCGAGGGCGAGGGCGAGGGCGGTCGGGCTCACGAGAGGCGAGGCGGAGCTGCTTGCGAGCGGCGTCGTGGGTCGTGCGACAGGCAGGCTCGAGAGACGAAGAGCGTGCCGCCGACTGTCGTGGCAGAGAGGGTCAAGCGCGAGCGACGGGCGAGGTGGCGGAGGGAGACGGGCGTCGAAGAGGGAAAGGCGAGGAGACGGGCACAGAGGCAGAAGGCAGGCTGGGTATGGTGGAAGGGGAGGAGACGAGGTTGGGTCGACGGTCGCGATAGGGCCTGTGCCCGCACTCTCGCAGGGAGCGACGGTGCTGGGCCGCTCCCCGCTCGCCCGCCTGTTGGCCTGGCTGCGTGGCTGGCTTGGCTTGCCTGCCTGGCAGCCTGGTCTCAGCGAGGGCTGGGTGGGCCAGCGTGGCGCCTTGCCTGGCCTGGCCTTGCCTGGCCTGGCCTGCCCCGCGCGCACTGACCTGCCTGCTGGCCTGCTCTCTGCGCTCGACCCCAGCTTCTTCTCAAACCCGCCTGCTGGCCCTGGCAGCCCTCAGGGCCTGGGCCTGGTTCGCGACGGAGCTGCCAAGCTGGCAGGCCTTTGCCAGGCTCGGGGTTCGGGAAATGGGGCCGCGAGCTGTTCGGCTCCGAGAGGGCACCGTCGACGCTGGAAATCCCGCCATAGGCTCGCCCACCTCCTGCTCCACTTTTTTTCTGGCCCGCTCTCAGCTCGCCTCCTCAACCTCGACCTTCGCCGCGTCGTCCCTTTTCCTGTCTTCCCCTCCGCTACCCCCTCGTACCGCCCTCCGCCCTCCGCCCTCCGCCCGCCCTCGTCTATATCCTCTGCTGCCGGTCGACTGCGCCTCGGCTCCACGCCATCACCATGTCCCGCTACGGCGCGAATTGGCAGAATGCCAACAACCCCAACATGGCGCCGCTGCCGCCGCGGCCACCGCGCGGCGGTATCGGCAGCGGCGGATACGGACCTGGACCCGCTGGCTCCGCCATGAGCCCCTCTTTGGGCATGTCCCAGGGCTCGTCGGCAAGCCCGATGGGCACGCCGGGTCAGCCGCCATCCTCGATCGGAGGCACGCCGAGCTCCGGTCTCGCACCCGAGGCCGCCACCACGCTCTTTGTCGGCAGCATATCCCCCGGCATCACCGACATCTGGCTCGTCCGCCTGCTCGAGGCCTGCGGCTCGCTCCGCAACCTCAAACGCGTCAGCAAGGCCTTCGGGTTCGCCGAGTACAGCGAGCCCGATGCGGTGCTGCGCGCCATCAACGTGCTCAACGGCAGGGAGCTGCCCGCCATGGGTCCAGACGCAAAGTCGGCGCAGCCAAAGAAGCTCGTCGTCAAGGCAGACGAGAAGACGAAAAAGTTCCTCGAACAGTACGAGCAGACACGCATCGCAACAGACGTGAGTAGTAGCAGCGGCACCGCCCGGTCCCAATCCGCTGCATTCATCCAGCAGCAGGACATGCGCGAGACGCTGACCCACCAGCCGGATCGGCCCCCCCTCTGCCTTTGATGCACATGCAGAGCGACGAAAAAGACGAGGTGGACGCCGGATCAGCGGTCGAGAAGCTCATCAAGCAGATGGCGACCGAGGCCGCTGCTGGCGGGGACAACACAGAGTCGCGCCCCGCCTACGAGGTCCCGGCGCATCTCAAGGACCTTCCGCCAGAGGAGCTCCCAGAGGAGCATCGCGGGAGCGTCCTCTCCGAGATCGAACAGTTCAGGCAGGCGGCGGCGGCTCGCGAGGAAGCGACGCGACGGAGAGAGGTTGAGCTCGAACAGCAGAGGGCCGCAGAACGGGCGCGTCGGGCGGGACAGCAGCAGCAGCAGCAGCAGCAGCAAGGGCATCAGCCCGGTCACGCCAACGGCCGATCTCAGGATCCGCAGAGCTACCAGCGGCCCGTCGGCTTCGTCCCCGCCTCTCACGACCAGAGGCCAGAGTCGGACCTCGAGCCCGAGGAGCTGGACGAGCTGCAGGAGCGGAAGCGCAGGGAGCGGAAGCTGGCCGACGAGCGGGCATCCGCCGCCGAGGCCGAGCGGATGTACGCCGTCAAGGAGCGCCAGAGGCTCGCCCACTGGGAAAAGGAGCTCGGCCGCGACAAGGTGGAAAAGGAGCGGGCGGAAAGGGAAGCGGTGGCGCTGCTGCGCAAGTGGGAAGACTGGAGGGACGACGTCGCGCGCGAAAAGGAGCTCTTCCACACGGACAGGTGAGTGCCGCAGCGCGTCGGCGCGTCGATTGCGAGACCCGCCCCTCTGTGATGAGCCCGTCTGACGACTTGCGCGCTCCTCGTCGCCGCCACATCTCTTTTCCCGTCCCAAACCCGATCTCTCTCTCGCTTCTCGTCCCCCCGCCCCCAAACAGGAAGCGCTGGAGGCACGCACGCCAGCCGTTCCGGCAGCGGGAAGAAGAGGCCGACGAGCGAGACCGCCGCGCCGAAGCGGAAGAGCAAGAGCGGGCGCGGCAGGAGACGGAGCGTTTTCTCGCCCAGCAGGCCGCCGATATGGCCGCACTGGCCGAGCAGCAGCGGGCGGCGGGCATCCTGGTGCCGCAAGAGGGCGGACTGCATGCGCCGCTCAAGCTCAACCTCACCAACGCTGCCAAGGCCGAGGGCGCGTCCGAGGGTGCCGCGGCAGGCGCTGCGGCCGCTCCCGTCGTGGCCGCGACGGCGCTGCTCGGAGAGGCCGACGACGACGACACGGGCAAGCGGGCCAGCAGGCTCAAGCGGATCGAGCTGCGCGACAACCTCACAGAGGAGCAGAAGCAGGCGCAGATTGCAAAGATCGAGGAGGGCGTGCCCGGCGACGCCGCCTCGCTCTTCAAGCTGCAGCCAAAGTGGGAGTACATTGACGAGGTGCGTATCCGTATTGACCGGCCCGCCTGTCCGCTCATCTGCAGAGCCGCGTGCGCTGATCGAGCGGCTGTCGCTGACGCGTGCTGTTTTCCCTTGACTGCCGTCGTCCGCCGACCGAAAGGCCACGATACAAGGCAAGTACAAGGCCTGGGCCGACGCGCAGATCGAAGAGAGCCTGGGCGAAAAGGTCGAGGAGCTGGTCGACTTTATCGTCGAGACGCTGCGCGCCCACAGCACTGCCGAGGACTTTGTCGGCGGCATCGAGCCGGTGAGTTGCCTGCCAATTGGGAAAGGACGGTCTGAAAGGCGCAAGGATCCCGCGGCCGTAAGCTGACACGCCCGTACTTGTCTCCGCACCAACTCTCGCCGTTCGCAGGTGCTGGCCGAGGAAGCCGAGCCGCTCGTCGGCAGACTTTGGAAGATGCTCGTCGTCGACTCGCTCGCGGCCGCTGCAGGACTTGTTGGCTGAGGGAGGAGGGCGCTCCGACGAGACGCACAAGAACATTGCAAGCCACCTGGGGAGGCGAGCACGGACATGGAGATGAGTGGAACACCCCTCCCCAAGCTCCCGGGCGACCCGAGTCGAGGCTGCGGCCGGTCGTTTGTGTTGCTCATCAGCCTGGCTCAGGCGGCGACTTGACCCCGCGTACCTGGCCCTTTGCCAGGAAGGAGACTCGGAACGATCACCATCGCCGTCACCAGCAGCAGCAGCAGCGGCAGCAGCAGCAGCGGCGGCGGCGGCGGCAGCAGCGACGAGCATACCAACGCGCGCCCTTTGATGGCGCCCATCACTGTACTACCACGCACGAGACACCCAACTCCCCCCCTTTAGCTGCGACTGGCAAAGGTGCGTCCAATGATCCATGATCGACTGCGCACGCACGCCGAGACGGTCGCTCGATTGCCGCTCCTGCCCCATGCACCGGCGTCGACTCGGGTCGCCCGGACGCCCTTGCCCGGCCCTCGTCTTGAAGGAGCGTGCGTACCCACCAGCCTGCCCCAGTCGTGTCTTGATGCCGTTACGCTGACGGCCCGCGATCCGCCCGCTGCTTGATCGCTCGCTAGTCGCCGAGCCGGACAGCGAGGCAGCCATGTCCAGGATCTCTCGCGAGTGCCCCGCGTGTCGATGCGAGTGAGTGCCCTCGGACCCGTATGATCGACCATGCTACGCAGTTCGCTGCCTCCATGTATCTCGCCGATCGCTCGCTCGATTGAACATGTGCAGGACCGATAGACAGACAGGCGGACGGACGGACAGGCTGGGCCGGTATTGCAAGGGTGGAGTTCGGGCAAGGTAAGCCGTCGGTCGAGGTGATGGTGCACATGCGGCGTCTTTGGTACCTCTGCTTGGCGACTCGACCTCGGCGAATTTCGAGGCCGCCGCCGTGCGCCCCCGCCAACGATGCTTTTCCTCGGTGTTTTGCGATGGGAATTTCTGCTGGCCTGGCGGCCTGGCCAGAGCGCGGCCACCGTGCACTTGGCCTGGCAAGCTGCCGGTGGCGCCAACATGCCTGCTTCAATGCTCGCCAGCAGGCTTTGACGAGCGGGCTCCGACCCCTCACTCTCCCCGACCTCTTGTCCCCCTTGTCCTCGCCACCACCACCACCACCACCACCACCACCTATAGCCGCCATCTGCGCTGCCGCCGCTGCCGTCACCGTTCTCCCCTCTCTCCTTCTCTGTGTACCCCCTCCCCACTTCCCAACCCCTCCTCCACGGCAGCTAGGCAAGGCACAGCAACGATGGCGGCGCTCCAACGATTCCTCGCCGCGACATCCTCGACGCTGCCGCGGCAGTGCCTCTCGGGCGGCGTGCTGTTCGCGACGGGCGACGTGATCGCACAGCAGCTCATCGAGAAGCGCGGCAAGCAGCACGACCCGTGGCGCACCGCCCGCCTGGGCCTCTACGGCGGCGCCATCTTTTCGCCCATTGCGGCGACGTGGTTCGGCAAGGTCCTCGAGCGCGTCCAGTTCAAGAGCCGCTACGCCAACATCGCCACAAAGGTCGCCCTCGACCAGCTCGTCGCCGCGCCCAACATGACGGCCCTCTTCTTCACCGCCACCACCCTCATGGCCGGCGGGTCTACGGGCGATGTCAAGGCCAAGCTGAACGAGGTGCGTTCCTGTCTGCGCCGTGTCGGGCGGCGGCTCGTGCGGGCACGCCAGTGTGAGGTCGAGGTTGGCAAAGGCTGACGATTCCGCGTTGTCGCTTGTCGTTGTCAACCCCAACTCTCTCTCACCCACCCCGCTCGCTCGTTCGCTGCAGTCATGGTGGTCGACGCTCAAGACTGGCTGGGCGGTGTGGGTACCCGTGCAAGCCGTCAACATGGCCTTTGTCCCTCCCAACCAGCGCCTCCTCTTTGTGTAAGCAAGCCCCGCACGGTCTCCCTCCCCGCCTCACCGCGCCCTCGTCTCGACGACTCCTTCTCACCTTCCCTCATTTCCTTGCCCACTGCCCCAACGTTACGCATCGACAGCAACGTCGTCTCGATATTCTGGAACACGTTCCTGTCGGTCGTCTCGTCTGGCTCGGAAAAGACGGCCGAGGCCAAGCTGCACGACGGCATCGAACTCGTCGAGGCCAAGGTCGACAAGATCCACTAAGTCGAGGTCAAGCTAGAAGCGGCTCCCCGTTGACGCAGCCCTCGTCGGTCGCACCCCGTCTGGTTGCATGGCTCGATATCGATATCCCGCCCTCCTCTCCTTGCCCATCGCAGTCACTCGCTTTCCCCCTCGCTCGTCGTTGTCACCCACTCTAGAAGGGTCCCCGTGCAAGCACACGGACATCCTACATGCCTCTGACTGGTCACGCTGCAATGCATCCTGCTGTCCCATCAACCTGCTCTGCTCGCACACGAGCTACACGCTGCCAACCACCGATCAAGAGCAGCTGCCAACGAGGGGAGGACGTCAGAGCCAAGCCGAAAGCTGCAAAGCCCCATCATTGAGCTCTTCTATGATCACTGCTGGACCAGAGCCGTGCTTGTTGCGGGTCGAGGCGGCGACAGTTTTCTTGGTAGGCAGGCGCGGCGGGGCAAGCACATTGACAGACCCATGGCAGCCAGCCATGGCGAGGCGAGGAGAGTCCATATGAGAATGAGAGGCCGCGGGGGG